ATACAACTTACCTGGCTGTTTTCATAATAAAAACAAGTGGGTTTATCAGTTTTTAGCAGATTAATTGCAAATTGTAAATTAATTGATTTTCAAAATTAAAAAAAACTACTCTGGACAGATGCAGGCTGCCAAAAATGTTATGTCAAATAATTATTTAAACATTTCGTGCTTAGGGATCCAGTTCAAGTTAGAGGGGAGTGGTAGCCTATTGGTTAGGGCATAGAGCTTGGAATCCTGAGGTTCTGAGTTTAAGCCCCACTCCCACAGCATGCCACTCTGGGTCTTTGAGCAAGACCCTTAACCCCACACTGCTCACCGGGCGCCACACAATGGCAGCCCACTGCTCCCAAAAGGGATGGGTTAAATGCAGAGGTACATTTCTCCAATGTGAGATCAATAAAGTTCAATTATTATTAAGTTAGGAACAAAAAAAGTAAATCAACTGGTGATCCTAAAACAACAACAACAACTACTATTTAACATTCATTTAACAGTTTACACAACAACAAAAAAAACTGTGTATTTTAAATGTATTTTTTGTGTATCTATCTGTGTATTTTAGATTAATCATAGAGTTATATCTAATCTATCCAGCACTGGGAGTAAAGGGTAAAACTAGTTGCGCATTTGCAAAACTGGTACCTATTGGACTGAGAGTATATTGCAATTTTTATCAAGCTTATTCATATAAAACCCCTGGACCTTTCAAAGTATTAAAATCTGATTAATTCCTTGGATTCTCTTAACCCATGTAAAACAGAATCTTGGAATATTCATTGGAAATCTTGCTGTTGACTGTGTAAAAAGACAAACAAACAATACCCCGGATAACCGCAGTAATGCCTCCATTCAGCCATGTTGCTGAAGAGGCAGAGGGAAGTGGCTGCAGAGAACTCTGAACAGTAGGAAGAGGAGATTTTGTGGGAGGAAGAGGTCTTATGCAAATGAAGCTGCAGAATGTATCTTTCAAAGCGTCATCATGCAGCTGTGGTTTGGTTTTTGAAAAAATGTGCAACTCAGTAGACAGTTACAGTACATCCTTTGGTCATCATTCACTCAACCAGTGAGAAAAATGTGAAAAAACTCCAGGATTATTTTTGCAAGGCCCTGTATTTCAAGAGTAAGGATTCCAGTACAAAGAAGATTGAAGTGTGAAACATTTGTTTTAATTAAAAAAAAAAAGATAAGAAAAAACACAAGCTAATTAGATCCACACAGAGTTTTTAAAAATGCTTCCATGAAAAGTCTTTTTGTCAGAGTCACAAGATCTAGAATTGTTTGCGTGTCAATTTGCCAATCAAAACAGAAAAGACTGTCAGCTGGGAGCTGAAATAATAAAAAACACTTCTCCTAAAGTATGTGTGTAGTGATGGAATAATACCACTCATATTGCTGCTGATACTAATAACAATAATGAAAAACTGCAGTTTAGATGTCCTGTTCTGTAACACCAGAAAATGAAATCTATTCCAGGCAAGTTGACTGAATGTGGTGCAGTTTATGTTATGTATGTTTATTTTGGATCCCCATTAGCCTTGCCGGGCCTCTGCTTTAGTTACACCTCCTGGGGTCCTGTAACATTACAAACATATTGGCATAAAACAATATTTACACCAGATTACCATACTTACACTCATATATAAACCATGAAAGTACAGGAAGCAATAGAGAAGTCAGATATTCATGAGGTTCCAGTCATAAGCCCAATTTACACTACCCTTTTGAAACCGTGCCGACAATGGTCCGAGCACGGTAACTGGGATAACTGTTGAGTGTTAATGACACTCAACTGAACTGGACCATGCCAGACACAACAGAACCTCTATAAATCTAGTACTAGTTCAAAAGTTAGTCTCCGTTGCTCAGTTGTGGCTTGATTCTCTAATAACAAAGAGCGCATGAGCAGAGAAGGTCATCTCCTATTTACAGTCAACTGAGTCATTTTGCAGGTTTTCCGGTGTGTTCGGCTTTGCAATTCACAGATCTCTTCGACTGTTCACAACACAAGCTTCTTGCTTCTGGGATGATACAGAGACTGAGGTTCTCATTGAAATTTGGGTGTAGGAAGCTATCCAGGCACATAAGTCCCGTTTTTTGTTTTTTTAATTTCCGTCTTGAGAGTTGTAGTATCGTGGACAATAAGAGACAAGGTACCGTGCTACTGTGATGTGTAAATGTTCATAAGAACCAAGCCCGGCACAGTTAACTGATCCAAGCTCGCTCCGAACTTGGCATAGACCGCTTTCAGAGGGGTAGTGACACCACCAGCCAGAGGTGCTCAAATACAGTTCTTGAGGGCTACCATCCTTCAAGTTTTAGATGCATCCCTTCTCCAACACACCTGAGTCAAAAAAGAAGGTCATGACCAGGCCTCTGCTGAGCTGAATGACATGCTGAGGGAATTCAGCTGTTAAATTCATATTTGTTGGAGAAGAGATGCATCTAAGGAATATGTTTCTCCTTAGCTTCACCTTGGCCCTATTGTAGCTCTACCTTTCTTATACTACATCCAAAACAGTCAGGTTATCCTGAGCTAATTTCTATAATTATGCTGCTATATATTTAGACTGCAGGATGACAAAGGGGTTATTTTTCCTGATTCTGCTTTATTTTATCTCTATTATCTCTATTCTGCAGTATGGGAGAAAACATGAGGAAAATCTAACTCATTCAACACGCACATAAAAGAAGAATGATCCTCATCCATCTTAATATAAGTCCTCCCACAGAAACAATAAATCCCCATTTAGCATCATACACTTTGCCCTCTAACTTCATCTCCCCTGCCAGCATCATGTCTGGCCAAGGCACAGCATGTGACAACCTGCATGCAAAAGCCTGACCTTTCCTGCACCAAGAAGCTCCAACTGGACCGCTCAGATAAACGCAAACTGCCTGGGGTGTCAGAGCTCAGAGATGTCCAAATAAACATTCAGAATGGCACCAGACAGCCTCGTTTGAGGCGAAACATACCCTCCTGTTAAAAACAAGATAAACTAATGGAGTAATTTTAATTTAATTTAATTTAAGGTTTTAAAACCTAAGTGAGCTTTTTTAAAACAGATTTTTCCTACACATGAAAACACCACAAAATCCTGAGAAAGCAAAAGGTAGCTCAGTTTTAAGACAGTGCTTTTGCATTGCTTGTTGAAGCGGTAGATTGAAAACACACTTTTAGAAAAGGGAAGGATATAGAGGTGGAACAAAAGCGCCTGAGCAGTTTAAGAACACTGACTGAAGTATCTGCTGAAGGTCAGCCAGTTTTAAAGAAGCTAAAGATTCATCTGTGGGATGCAGGTTTGATATAGATCCTCATGAGTCCTGGCAGGTCTGACACTGAAATACTGCCAACTCTTTGACTTTCAAATACAGATTTCTCTGATGCAAAAAAAAAAAAGAAATAAAATAAAATAAAACAATTATAAGCTTCTTGTTGGTAGCAAGGTCATTTTTTGTTTGTTTTTTTGGCATCAGCCTAGGACACCGACCGTTAAAGAGGGTGCAACTGTGACAATAAAAAAAAGAGAATAAGAAAACACTGAATAGAAAGAAAAACAAAAACTTTCAGTGTGAGTAAATGCTAGGCATTTTGACAAGCTCCTATTCCATTTATATAAACCAAAATTGGCTATAGTTAAACTTAACAAACTTAAAACTCTCTATCATTAAGCCAAAAGTTGTGACAAAAAACTATTTCATGGTAAAAATAGTTTGCAAAGGGAACACAGACTGCACTCATCAACATCTATTTAGGTTTTCTACACAACATATTTTTATCTCAAACATCTTATATGCATAATATATATATATATATATATATATATATATATATATATATATATATATATATATTTACATATACATATATACCTACATAAAAAACATATTGAAATTCCAGATTTCAGCTATTTTCACATTGTTTTATGGAAGATAAATTCAAAAAGCATATGTTTTTGCAGCCGAAACTTGTCAGAGGGGGTATTACAACAGGGAGACCTGTTTGATACTTGCAAGTTGTGGGAGTTAATGCTCTTTTTATTGGTCATGCTCTGAAAAGAGAGAATTAACTGAGGAGAAGATCATGGGTGAGCAAATGGTTATTTTTGGTGATGATGGTGCTAAACTGCATCTGTCAACAAGAGTGAGTTCAAAACCAGAAACAACTTTAACATTTAATTTTAAGTTGGGATGAGGCTGTAAGAAACGTAATTAAAGAGGAAAAAGAGAGTGCAAGATAAGGCTTCTGTAATATTCGATGCCCTTTTCAGTGATTTTATAAAACTACTATCAATAAAGGGGTTGTATCATTCAGTCTGCTCAATGCTGTTCAATCAACAAAAACAAGTACTTAAAAATAAGTAAAGAACAATCTTCTCTGTGTCCCTAAAATCAAATTAGTAAATATTGCCAATGACAGATAACATCTTGACTGTGAGATCATTGTTTTAGTACAAACATCATCCCCAAACATCTGCTGCATGTCAGTTTTCCATCTTAGTTTGCAGATAATATCCTAGAACTCTGAGAATAAGGCAAAGGAAATATTTGGTTATATGTTTTCCTGAAGCCTCAGATCCCTCAACTGTTGTTTTTTGAAATCTCTTACTGGTACCAGAAATAGGAATGCTGCACAGGGGACCATTTTTGTGTGTTTGTTTACTTCTTCCCAAAGCAATGCTAAATATTGAAGCTGAGATGGGAGCGGTGGTTTTGACTTTCCTGTGTGATAAAGGGAAAAACCTTTTTTAGCAATTGAAATAAGAATCCCTGATCTCTGATTTTATTTCTAACCTGCAGACTAGCCTTTCTTCAGTTGATTTCAGAGGTCCTCACAAGATAATCAATTTAATGAAAGAAAAAAGAATTTCAAAAATTTTAGTTGATAGTTTTAAAAGTGTATATTTTAAGGAGAGTTTTTTCCAGTTTTAACTTAAAGATCCTTGCCAAATTGGAAAAATAGGAAGTCATGGATGCAGTTGGGGGAGAAAGAGATGACTTACCAAGTCCCAAGCACGATACTCTGAGCCCAGATTTCCCAAGATTCCTGTGTAAAAAGAAAAAAAAATCAAGCTATGCACATGTACAAAAAGGCCGATTTGTAATATGATTTTTTTAGCTAATGTAGACATTTGTGGCATGTAACATTCTGTAACATATTTCAAATCCCAAAACCAATGCAACAGAAAATGCAACTGAACAGAAAAGGCCTCTGTTTTTTTTCAAGAGATAGGATACGACTTTGATTAAGATGATCATGACAGGTTCAAAACTCGTTTAATCCATTTTGACAAGACTTTGAATGTCACTTTGTGGCCTTGCAAACGGAGAATCAGGCACAGTCATTTCCAGGCATGCATCATCCGAAACAAACAGATCATCAGTGAGTTGTCGGGAACACAACATACTGTTTGTGTGCTGCATATTTCTGCACAGCCACTGCCTTGTTTTGCAGAACAAGTCCATATCATTCTGTAACATCAAAGTAAATAACTGTATCCAGAAGTTTTAGGCTACTAATTTATTCACTTGCAATATTACAGTTAAAAATAAGAGTGCAGCTTGTGTTTATGTTGTTTTACACTTTCCAGGTCCGAGATAAATGTAGAGCAGCAGGCTGCGAGAGTAACAGTTTCATGTTATTCTGAAGCCCATTTATTCTTTAAAATTGGTAGGGCATTTAGTTTCCCTTTTCTTTTGCCAGCAAAAGGCCTTTGGGAAATGTTCATGGTACAGCACAACCTTCTGACGAGTTTTTCCACCAGAGGTTGTCCTTCTCATCTGTTTCCGCACTCTGCAGCTATCCGAGTCATCTGCAATCAACCCTCAGGAACATTTATTGTCCTGTCACATCAGCTTGCTATCCACTGTGTCCACTGGGCAGATAGCACGCAGACACACAAGTTCAGGCAGGAGTTCCTATTAGAGGACTGCTTCAACTTCCATTAATGGAGGACGGAGTAACCCAATCCGTGGTTAAAATCAGGACCTTAATCTGAGCCCTACTATTTGATCTTATCACTTACCTCATCTAAAGCTCCTAGTTAAGGTATTTAGCAATTTATGGTGTTTTCAATGTATATTTCCCCCCATCCATTCATTAATTTCTGTACCTATTCTGTCCTGCAGAGACTAGAGCTCATACCAGCACCCTGAACAACGGTAGTCTGGGTAGCAAACTGAAACATGTTTATTAATTACTCAATAGAGAACTGTACACTGTGCTGCAATAAACTTGTTCAAAGTTTAACAATTTAACCTGGATTGACCTTTGACCTTTGTCCAGTATTTGCTTTAAAATATATATTTTTAATGATTATCTATCAAAATAGGAAATCCCTTTAAAGGAAATCATACTTTTTCATCTAAAAACATTTATTTTGGTGTTGGGGTTCAGTTAAAACCTGCCTCATGTAGGTTTTTTTGTTCAAACCCGCAGGCAGTATCCAGATTTTATAAGCATCAATACACGTCCAACTTACTTTTAGAGCATTTTCCCTGGTCTTACCAATTATGAAGAAGGGCCTGGAGAAATGTACTTGTTAGAATTATTTACAGCGCAGTGATCGGGAAAGCACAAATTACTCCTTAGTGGTCATGTGTAACTTAAGCAGAGTATATATTTAATGCTTTTATAATGCAGTTTATTTTGACACTAATTATTCTACAGAAAAGGCAATAAAGCTTTAAAGTTAGATAAATCTGTGTGAATAAAGACAGAGCTTCATGAGCTTTATAGTTTAACTTTTAAACCTTTAGCTTTTAACTTGCATTATTTTTATGGTAGTTTGCACAAACTCTATTTAATACAATAACAAACTTTTTGTTTTGTTTTATGGCACTAGTGGCTTGTTTTTTCGACAGAAAGTTGACAGGAAAGGGGGTATGAGAGAGGGGGAGAGGCAAAGGACCACAGGTTGGGTTGGAACACGGGTCGGCTGCATCAAGGACTAAGACCTCCATACATGGGTTGTGCGCGCCAACCATTGCGCCACCAGTACGCCCCACAATAACATCCTTTTAACCGCTTACAATTGACTTAGTGCAAATAAAAAGAAAAAAACAAACAACTTCATCAGACTAATTAGATGAATGGTTAGTGGGTTTTCTCACTAACTTCACCTAAACCAACATCATTGCACATTATTTCCCTGTAAAAGAAAACAAACTAAATCATATAAGGTGCATATACTGCTTTTTCAGGAAGCTTGGTTAGTCTGATTTCTGCTGAGTTGTGAGTTCCCTCAGTCAACGCTGAGAAGAATAGATTGATGATAAAAGAGGAAATAACAGAAAGAAAGATCAGTGAATAGATGGAGATAATAATTCAAGGAAGAAAATAAGATTCCTCCAAATGGAAGATGGAATTCAAACAGCATCCTCCTCCTCATTTGATAAACTTGTAAAAAAAAAAAATAAAAAATAAAAAATATAAAATGCTTAGAGTCAGAAATAATTAAGTAGTCCATCACCACCAAACCCACACACTGGGACAACCATCCTCATACATCAAATATTTATTGACATCTGAAACCACAATAGCTGCCTTTCTAAAAAGATCAACAATGAGGCCATTAATCTCCTCTTAAACAAGTCTTCATTTAAATGATGATGAACAGTAATGACTTTCTCTAATACTCTAGCTCCGTGGCAATATCATCTTCCCTGTTCATCTGCCAAACCACTCAGCTTTGCTCTGTCTCTCACTCTTTCATGGATCTCTGCAGTCATCATCAGAGACCCGACACTGATTCCATCATTAGTTCCCCCTTAACAGTGTTTAAGTGTTGAGGGAGTGTTGGCCTAGTGGTTAGAGCAGTGCGCTTGTGCTCTGAGAAGGTTTCAAATACATAGTTTGATCTCCACAGCCTGAACTCTGGGTCTCTGAGCAAGACCCTTAAACCCCAGACTGCTCAACAATGGCAGCCCACTGCTCCCCAAGGGGAGGGATTAAATGCAGAGGTCAATTTCTCCAGTGTGAGATCAATAAAGTTCAATTATTATTATTAAAAAGAAAACAGAGGTACACAAATGTAACACCTTCAGTTTGCATTTCAACCAGATTAGAATTTAATAGAGAGATGATGGAAACCAACCAAGAAGCTCAGAGGGAAGGCTCAAAATGGAAAAGGCATTTAGCTAGATATGAAGAGTCACTTTATAATTTTAACTCCTTTGGAGACCAGAGAGAGGCTGTTGCCATTAGGCTTTTCAAACCTTCTGAGCTTTATTATTTTAGTTTTTTCTTTAACTCTTGTATCGTGTTGGTATTTCATAGGATTGAGTAACTTTAAGTGCATAATTGAAATGTGTGGAATGCATTTATATTCCATTCACTTTAATACAATATCCCCATATTTTATTCAGTGCAACCAACTTTAGAAGTCACCTAATTAGTAATCTAAAATAAACTCTGTGAAGGCCTCTGAGGTTTATTATAGAGAACTATGTGAGATATTGCTGAAGAGTCAACATAAAATGCATGGAATGTATCCAGGAGGAGCATGTCCAGCAAGTCAATGACTGAATATAATCAAATGGTTTTCCTTGTTAGAATCTTAACCAATCTGACATGTGTTATGAATACATTCAATTGAGTTAATGAAATTGCACATTAGTCAGTCGCAGAAAGGTCAGAAAGAAAGTTGTTGAAAAGTTTTTAAAATGGGATTAGGAGATAAAACAAAATCCTAGCACAACAATGTGTTTATTCTGCAGAATGGAAAAGAATATGACAACTGCAATCCTAGCAAAGAGGAAATTCACCAAGAGGCCTACAGTAAATCTGGAGTAGAAGCTGAGATTCATAGCTTAGGTGGGTGAACCTGTTGACAGAACTATTGTTCCTATGCTTTTTATATCTGGTCTTTATAAAAGAGTGGCAAGATATTGATTGAATGCCATAAAGAATCCCGATCCAGTGGCATATTAGTTTGGAAAAGAGTAGATAGTGCCCAATTTTTAAAGCTGGACAAACCGAGTCAGTGGAAACAGATTAGAACCAAGCAAATAATTACAGATGCTGTAATTGAAAAAAAAAAAATTAAAGAAAGAAAAGTTCTTACAGCAGTAGGCTGTTGAAATTCTAACGATGTAAACAGCTCATTCGGGACATAATAAAGGGCATCCATTGCAGCTGCTATCTTGATTGTTATGCTTACGGGAAATCACTGCTGGATTAAGGGTCAACCTCCCATGCTGTGATTGGTCTGGACTGTTTTTGACTGGAGGATATTGAGCCTTAGTGGACTGATTTATGTGCATAAGTCAGTGTTGCTGGCCAGACTATATAGAGAGACCATAAACATGTGGAGGAAGGTGCTTTGGTACATCACAATAAAAAAAAAAAACTTTTTGGATACATACCTATAATGATACATGGTGGTGGGAACCCTATTTCATAATTTTGCCTTATTCTATCTCTATTCTTCCACTCCGAAGAATCTGTTAGTTTAATATCTAATGTTATGCTCTCTGTGCCTTTTTCTCATAGTAGCTTCACCTCATCTGCTCCTGTTTGGCTGTGACACCACCATGGAGAGAAATATCAGCTGTGCTGCGGCCGTCAACATCTGTGTTTATAGATGTTGGAGATCAGCCTATTTTTCCAGTGTAGTCCTGTTTCTCTGACTGTGACTGGCTGGATGTGCTCTCTTCATCCTCTGACATGGGAGTTGGCTCAGAGCTCATCTACCTGGCTGTTTTTTTCCTGGAAGGGGCCGCCTTTTAGAGTTGCTTTTTGTATCTCTGCATCTGTCTTCCTTGAACCCCAGTCAGCCTCGGCAGATGGCCTCTCACACTGAGCCTGGTTCTGCTGGAGGTTTCTTCCTGTTAAAAGGGAGTTTTTCCTCTCCACTGTCGCTATAAGCATGCTTAGTGTGAGGGATTGCATTTGAGTTACTGAGTCAATGCAATCAACTGGTTTTCCTTAGATAGAAAATTTTGAATCAATTTGACTGTAGGATCTGGTGAACTGTAAAATGCCTTTAGATGACGTGTTGTGAATTGGCGCTATATAAATAAACTGAAATAAATCTTACTGTGATG